GATTATGGGCCTGAAACTAAAAGGAGAAGAATATAAACTGTTGGCATTTGCAGATGACCTAGTGTTTATATTGGAGTACCCACTGGAATCAATTCTTACTTTGAAACAAGAACTTGGAGACTATGGACTTGTAGCTGGTTTGAGAATTAATATTAATAAAAAATATGGAAGAGGGGAGGACAACTCAACTACAAGAAACATCAGGTCTCCAACTACAGAAAAAAATAAAATACCTAGGAATTGTAATGAGAAACAAATGCAGCTCATTACAAGAGAATAATTATACATAATTGTTGAGGAAAACAAAACAGGATCTAGAGAAATGGAAAGACTTACAGATATCTTTGATGGGCCGCATCGCAACAGTTAAAATGAATATACTTCCTAAATGGCTATTTTTATTCCAAACAATACCCATTCTTCAAAACCAAAAAATCTTCAAGGAACTGGAGCAAAGCGTTATCAAAATTTATTTGGCAAGGCAAGAGACCCAGAATAAGACTGAAAGCTCTTCAAGATACTAAAGAAAGGGGGGGCTTTGGCCAACCTAATTGGAACCTTTATTATAAAGCAGCTGCATTGACGTGGATTAAAGATTGGGTCACATTGGAAGATAAGAGAACACTGAAATTGGAAGGCCATGACCTTCAATTAGGGTGGCATGCATTCTTATGGTATGGAAAAGCAAGTGTTCATAAATATTTCAAGCAGCACTGGATACGGGCATCTTTAATGAAAGTATGGGAAAACATACATAAGCGCTTTTATATAAAAATCGCAAAATTGACTGTTCCACTAGAAGCCATCGCACTCCCAAATGCATACCAGGAAGAATTACCAAGAAGGTATTTGGATATATTGGACTCCGAAGATCGGTTGAAACCATTATGAAGGGATTTTCTTTATGGGGACGCATTTAATTAGATGAGCCTCCTTCTGCAGTTGGTGGCGGTGTGGCAGACACAGCCTTACAGTTCCAGTGGAATAGGAAGGGTATCAGACAGCTTCATAGCTGCTCATCATTCAGTGTCCACACTTCAGAACAGATAACAAGGAACAGGAAACTTTGGAGGCAAGAAGCTGCATTTAACTCTCCTGAAAAGTGTACGCAAGTTAGTTGCTTTGGTATAAGTTATAATTTGCCTTTTCAAAAGAAAGAAAAAGCAGGCAGCAGGCAGAAATAACCAGCTCCTCAACAGTAGAGTGTTGCATCAACCAAGTACGCTGGTTGAACTCAACTTGGCCCTGATCCAGTAAAGCAGGCAGAAAGATTTGCATGGGGCTGTTCCCCATGTTTACTCATCCATATTTCATTGAAATCTGTGTTTAAAAAAACAAACTTGAGAAGACCAACATTGGGTGGGACATAGCAAAAGCAGGCTCTTCAGGGTGTAAAACTTGCTTCAGGATCAAGTCTGGCTGTGAGCTATAGCTTGAGTTCTGCCTAAGATGATTAGACTTCTGATTGGCTTAATTAGATGTCTAGCATAGTTAGTGATGTTGTTCGTTGGTTTGAACCATGGCTGCTTGCTGCTGCCTCAGGTCATTCATTAAAACTTTTCTTCCATATGCCATTTGAACTACTGGAGATAACTAATTTGTTGTTGTTTACTTTGGCTGGCATGTAAGTGGAATGAATTGTGAGCTCCTTGTTCCACTTAGTGGTTTTCTTTTTTGCTCCCTCCAGCCTTTGATTCACCCTTGAGTGCACAGTGCACAGACATAATTAGATTTTAGCAGAGGGTGAGTAGCACAGGATAATAGACAAATAAGCATGCTTGTCTTGGTTTGGGTCCATGATAGTGCTAAAGTGAGCCCAGCAGCCTAGCTGACGGGTATTTGCAGCCTTGTGAATGAGTTACCAGTCCATAGCTATGTAAGCCAAGTGAGTGCAGCTGAGTAAATAGCCCAAAGCACTTAACTGGACAAGCTTTCTCCAGATGTTGGTAACCTTGTCATAGTAGATATTTCCAACCAAGGTCTAGACATCCATTGCATATCACCGCTTGCATATCTGTCTTAATTGTTGTATTATTGTATATTGTCTGTATGCTGCTGAGAGTTTCTTATTACCATCTATGGCTATCTGTGAAGTCTCCACCCTCTGGTGTCCTGGTATGGTTTTTTACTTGCCAAGTGCGCCAAGGTTCATCCAGCAGGATGCAGGGTCTCTGTCCAGTGTACCTCAAGTTCCTGCTACCAGTGCTACTTGTTGTCCCTTCAGAATGTCCCTTTGCCACTTGGCTCAGTGGTTCTTGCTTTCCCACAATGCCAAGTTCATTCAGAACATTTCCACTTGTTCAAAACCCAAGCAAATAATTGCAAGAAGCACTGAGCTAAGTCATATTGGCTGTATCCCATATATTTAAGCAACCCCCCCCCCCAATAATTACCTCCTTTGATCAAATTATATTGGACCTCCAGAGTGAACTGTTATGACTACATCAAATAGCCTTTTGAGTTTGGGACACAGCAACAGTGATGAGAAATGAAAAATCAGCACTTCATCTTCCAGTATCTCTTGTGCAAATGGAATGGTGTTAAATAAAATTCCTGTTCTAATTTTGACTTGTTGCCTTTCCTTCCCATCTTCCATTTTTCTTTTAAAATCTTCTTTCCATGTGTTTATAACAGAACAGCAAGTGTCCTGAAGGAACAAAGCCTATGTTGATATTTGCGGGGGATGCATTTGATTTAAGTGAAAACCATCGAAGATTAAAAAGTCTTCTAATCGGTAAGCATTTTTGTATAGCTACATTTGTGGTGTTCATCTTTCAGCTGGCATTTATTTATCTGGATGTTTTTTATCCCACCCTTCTACTCCATGGTGTACCCAGGAAAGCTTCTAGGGAGAATAAAACCATGTAGCAGGGGTTCCCAACCTTTCTGAGCCTGTGGACAGCTTTGGAATTCTGTCTCAGCGTGGTAGATGCAACCACAAAATTGTGTGCTGGGGAGAAGATGACTAATTTTAGAAAATACACTGGGAAAGAATGAGAGAATAAAACCAACACTGGTTATTTGAATCTGTACAGCCAATTAGTTCTGTAATGGCTAACTGGGCAGGAGCCCCATTTGTGCCCACCCATATCTAGGAACATTTGGCACGCACCAAGAAAGGAGTTGGCATGCTCCATGGTGCCTACGGGCACCACATTGGGGAACCCTGCCATATTGTATATATGTCCCAAATAAAAAAACAACTATAAAGTGAAACCAAATTAAGAGAGAAAAAGCAGCAAATAATCATAGTGCAGTAAAATAAGGTAAAGACTCTGAAAATACAGACTAGGAATATCACTGTAAATCAAGCAGTCTGATGGATTTTTAAAACGTTTTATTCTAAGGCACTTCTAAAAGATATTCTGCTAAAACATGTTTGTTTCAAAGATCCTCTGGAAAAGATAAAACTTCCCATTGTACCACATATTAGAATTAGTTCTGAAATGTTAAAAGGCCACTGAAAGTTTCTGATTTTGTAGTAATGCTTATGGCAAGAATTGTGGTATCCTGCATTAAATTGCTGATTTTGTTGCATTGTTGCATTGAATCATCCTCTGGTCACTCTGCCTTCATAGACAATAACAACTAATGGACCAATAGGAGGCATTTTTGGTCCTATTCTACATAGTAGCAACCTTGAGAGGTGCACTTTCAAGCTTAGGAGACCTGGCCCATAAAGAAACTGAACAATATTGTCTTGTAAAGAAATTGGAATGAGACTTTCTATTGTGGCTCTTTGTTCCTGAGGAAGGACCAGAAGTCTGAAACACTGTATACTACCTAGGAAAAGTGTTGGATATCTACTTTGGACTTGATGCATTCTGTAGACTTCTATATTTCCTATGATAGATTTTATGTACAGATTTATTGCTGATTACATAGGTCTTTCACTTTGCTGAAGTCTCTTTTTGTACATTTACTCTTGTGGGTATTTCAGCACACAATTGTTTTGCTGTTACTTGCCATTTTGTATTGTGTGCTGCATGGTTTTGTTATTTCTGGAGAATCTTACCACCACCTCACCGGGCAGGTTATTTTTCTTTATGTATTCTGAATATGACCTATAGATCACATCCATTTCGCCTTGAAGCAAATCCGCTTTAAAATCTGCAGCCGGTCCCAAAGCCTCACTCAAAATCTGTTTAAGATTTTCCCCTTTAGTCTCAGGAACTCCCTGAAATCTCAGTATAAAGCTTGCCTTTTCCATTTGTAGCTGTAAAAGCTGGGCTTCATCAGATTTTCTCTTCTTTTACATCTCCTGCATTTGCTTTTTGAGCTTTTTGGTGTCGGCATCCACTTCTTTAAGATTCTCAGCTCTGGTTGTTTTTTTTTAAGTCTCATCTAGTTGCTGTTGTTGTGCAGCAAACTTTTGATTGAGTGTCTTCATTTGCTCCAGCAGGGGTCGCAATGCTTCTGTTAGCATCTTAGAGAAGTCACATGACTGCACTCACTGGGCTAGCACTTCCTGAAGGAAGCTTAGGTTTCATTTGCTTATCTTTCTCCGTCTTCTTCAGCGACATCTTTGAAGCTGTTTACCTTTAACAAAGTTTGCCAAAAGTCTGCAAATCGCCTTGTCGTGCTCCCCGTGCTCCCTGGGTGTGGCACCTCCCGTGGCCGTGGTGTGGCCCTCTGGGCGGGATCGTCGGTCCTGCAAACCGGGGCACTGAAGGTGGGGAAGTGTTGGGGCCTCATATGAGCAGGGAACAGGGTTGACTTCACCCCGTAGGTCCCTCTGCCCCGTGCAAGGTGCTCTCAGGAGGCTCACTCTAGCTCTCTCTTCTCACCTTTTGCACGTTTCTACTCCCCGGCCCCTTCGCTTCCCCCTTCTTGTATTCCTTCCCTGGCTCTCAGCACTGCCCTCTTTTCCCACCACTTCCCCCGTTCTCCCAGCCCCGCCCCCTGTGATAAGCCCAGACGCCACCTCGGCATCTAGGGCGTGGTTTGAGCTGGGCAGGCAGCAGTCCTGTCGGCCCATGTGCCCCGGCGCCGGCATGTAAGTTTTAAGTCCGTTTTTGTTTCTGTGGGGAGGGTTCCCACTCCCCCTCGCTTACTTTAGGGGGGACTTTCAGCCATTTCTCTGGTTCTCGCTTCAACCAACACTTTCAATGTAGATCATGTGGATCTCGCCATCAAACATGTAAAACACTCAACCTCCACTCGCTTGTCCCGGTGTGTGTCTCTGAGTCCACTACTGGAACACAGCGGTGAGACGGTCGGGGCATCGGAACTCCTCAGTCCACCGGCACTGTGCCGGGGGAGAGGTGATCCTCAGTGCCCCATGGCTAGGAGCCCTTCGCAAAGGCTCCGGGGGGGTGCGTACAATCGCACCCCCTATTATCCGCCGGCTCACGGATCGCATCCTCGGGAGCTCCCAAGAGACGCGTCCGCCATTAGATCACTAAAACCAGAAGTCCAGCCCAGTAACAAGTATTGATTGTATCTTTGGCTTTGACTGGAGATGCTCATCCACAGGCTGCAGGACCTCCTCAGGTTTAGCGTTAACTGCTGATTTAAGGCGCTTTGTCTTCGAGGAGCTCTTGCTCAACCCAGCTGGTCTTTTGGGCGGTTTGTCCACCTTAGCCCTCTTATGCCTAGACATGGCCGGGGACCATTGTGCCGAATCTCCCCGCTCAATGGATGGGAAAGGCGGCGTTTGGTGAGATCCAGTGGGCTCTGCCATAACAGGAGCTAAGAATTGCTCTAAGAGGAAGATTCTCAGGTGAGCAGCTCTATTTTTTCTTGCTTGACTGGTGAACCCTTTACAGGATACACAGGTGCCAGTCTTGTGATTCTCCCCCAGGCAGCGCAAGCAGTGGTCGTGCCCGTCAGTTGGGGAGGTCTTTGCTGCACAGTTCAGGCACTGTTGAAAAAAGGGAGTTGGTCCCATAGGCCACCCCGTAAGCTACGGGATGGGCCGGAATACGTGAGAGAAAGATTGACTGCTTTTCACTAATATTAGTGATCACCGTTGTTTTAATTTTGAGCCGGCTTCCCGGGCGATGAAGAAAAAACGTCTGGTCAGGAGGCAGTTAAAGATGAGCTGGGTGGGGGCGGAGTCTCTCTTAGCCTCTGAGCATGCACAGTGAAGGAGGGCTGCGCAAGACTGGGGTGGACTCCGCATTAGGTAGGTTATATGTTAAGCTTTTTAGGCTTCCCGGCCAGGGCTCTCAACATAGGTGTGAAACCCATGGTGTGATCTAATGCTCCCTGTGTGGATTTTAACTTAAAAAGGAGAAAGAGGTGGAACAGCACCATTTAAGTATCTCATTTCATTAAAACATAGAACACAACAAAAACTAACCAGTCTGGTGTAGTGGTTAAGAGCACGAACTCTAATCTGGGAAAACCGGGTTTGATTCCCCACTCCTCCACATGCAGCTGCTGGTGTGACTTTGGTTTAGTCACAAGTTCTCTCAGAGCTGTTCTCTCATGGGCAGTGCTTGAAAAAGCTTTCTCAGCCCCACCTACCTCATGGGGTGTCTGTTGTGTGGAGGGGAAGGGAAAGGAGATTGTAATCTTCTCTGAGACGCCGAGTGAAAGGTAGGGTATAAATTCAGTCTCCTCCTCCATGTAGAATCTCCATCACAGAATAAGAACATTTGGCACTAAAATGCCAGGAAAACATTTTCTTCTGCATTCTCCAATTGGAAATTCCATAATTTAGCAGAGGGAGTGTTCAAACAGATTGATAAACAGTGTTTTTGCACTTCATGTTTCTGGCTCTCTTCTAAATTGTTGCTGCCTATAGAAACTTGCTTTGGCTGAAGTGTTGAAAAAAGCATGAAACACATTCTTGGATGTGTTTCACCTGCATTACAGATCTGGTATGCTTCAAGCATCAGAATCTAAAGCCAGTCTTTTCTCCCTGAAAGCATTGTTTTCCACTTCACTCGCTTAAAATATTGCATATTAATCCCTATTTAGAGTTCTATGTGCATGATTAGGCCTTACTTTGTCTCAGGGTCCATGTATAGGCAACCAATTGTGTTTGGGCCGCACTTCCTTGACTGCCATACCATGTTCGGGACAATTGTATGTGCAACCATTTGTGAACTTCACCTAACTCTGTATGTCATGTAGGGAATTTCTAGTAAAACTTTGTGTTGCAGAACCTTTCAAAGTGCATTATTCTCTATTTTGTGCCTTTTCACCCCCTACCAAAACAGTTATAGTAGGCCATGCTGTGGTTTGAGAATTGTCTTAAAACAAGTGGAGACCCGCAAGAAACTTGCGGGATGGTTATCTCATTAATAACACCTTTGCTTCCTCTCCTCACCCCTACCTCTCTCTCACTATTTCTCCCCTCTGCCCCCCTTTTCTTACTCTCTATTTCTCCTCTATGCATGTGACTTCCTCTCTCTTTCTGACCTGTCATCTTTCTCTTTGTTTTTCTGCCTCCCCACTTCATCACTCTTTCTCTCTCTTTCTGCCACTCCGCAGAGCAGCAGCAGCAGTGGTAGCAGTGCTCCTAGCCACCAACCTGCTTCCTCTCCCCCCCACAGCAGCAGTGGCAGCGGTCTGGGAATCACAATGGATCTCCCAGTTACAGAGATCAATTCACATTAGGGCTGCCAGCTCCAGGTTGGGAAATTCCTGGAGATTTGGGGGTGGAGCCTTGGGACAGTGAGGCTTGGGGTGGCAAGCAGCCTCAGCAGGGTATGATGCCATAGACTCAACCCTCCAAAACAGCCGTTTTATCCCAGGAAACTGATCTCTGTCGCCTGGACAACAGTTGTAACTCTGGGTGATCTCCAGTCCTCACCTGGAGGCTGGCAATGGTGGTTCTTGTGGAGGAAATGGCTGGAGGGTGGAGTCTATGCCATTACACCAGTCCAAAGTTCCTCCCCTCCTCAAATCCCACCCTCTCCAGGCTCCACCCCTCAAATGTCCAGGAATTTCCCAACCTGGAGTTGGCAACCCTATTTCCTTCCCACCCAACAGCCAACCTACCTTTATTTGCCTCTCTGTCTTCTGCTTTCCATCTCCACCCCCCAGCCTCTACCTAGGAAAATTACAGTCTTTCTCCACAGTGGGGACCAAAGCAGCTTTCATTATTCCCTCCTCCTTTTTATCTGCACAACAAACCTGTGAGCTTGGTTGGGCTGAAATATGTGACTGGTCCAAAATCATGCAGTCAGCTTCCACTGCAAGATGAGGATCTGAACCTGGGTCTTGCAGACCCTACTTTGAAGCTCTAACTGCTGCACCTCACTGGCTTTCATACGGTGGCTGCTGATGAACGGTAGCAAGCAGCCGAGGCTAGGTGAGTCATGCAAATCAGGGGGGACCTGGCAACCCTAGACTACTGCCAGGCCTAGAGTTGCCAACCTCCAAATGGGACCCGGAGACCCCCCAGAATTACAACTGGACTCTAGACAGCAGAGGTCTGTCTCCCTGCAGAAAATGGCTGCTTTGGAGGGTGGACTCTGTGGCATTATACCCAGCTGAGGCCTCTCCCTTCCCCAAACCCAGCTCTCCTTAGAGTCCACCACAAAATCTCTAGAAATCCCCCAGCCTGGCACTGGCAACTCTTGTGAGGCCTGGCCCCTAGGCTCCCTCCTTCCCTCCCTCCCTGAAAGGCTGAAATAGGCCAGGAAAGGGCACTTCCCCCACCCTTTTACTGACAGAGCCAGTTAGAAGCCCCCCCCGAACATTCTGATCTCTCACCATTGATGCCTGAAGCAGATCCCTGCAGAGGCCATTTCAAAAGGTTTTGGGGGGAATTCAGCAGTCCCTGAAGGGATTTTTTTAGTTTTTGGATTTTTCTACAAACCCAGGAAGTCTACTGACAATGTAGGAAAAGCTGTTGGGGGAGAGTGAGCCCCCTGGTGGTGGAAATAAGTATCCGCACAGGGGAAAAAAACCTCTTGAAAATAGAATAAGGGTATACATACCAAGAATGTGGCCTTGTGATATCTCTATACTTGATACAGTTTTCATTACAGTGTGCCTGTCTATCTTTGATATCCCCTGAAAATAGGTGCAGGAAAAAGTGCATGACACCACCTCAACAATGACAGAGGCATTGTGTCATGCACTTTTTTCTGTGCTAAAGTATAGTTGTGGTTACTGTAAACCAGCTAGAGATATTAAAGGCCTTCTAGTCTGGTATTGGAATCAGACTGCAATTGTTAGAAGAGAGATTCCAATTTAATTGTTTATAGTACCAAAATAAAATTATGCAGAGGTAGTATCTGGAGTTTTTTACCTCCGTGTGAAACAGGTTCCTGATAACATGAATGTTTTGTTTTTCAGAACTTCCAAGGTAGTGTGAAAAAAAATCAATGCTGAAAGGCTACCCCCTGCTTATCGTAGCTGCTGTCTCAGCATCTACTTACCTTAAACTGCTGCATCAACATGAAGTAGCTTTTGCATTCAAATGCCAGTTTCCCATATCTGGGGTCACTGAGACCAGAGAATCATGGATTCCCCCCCCACACACACACACACTTTTCCTTGTAACTGAAATCCAATATTATACCACATTTTGTGAGACTGTAATTTTTTTAAAGTATCAATTTGGGAGTAAAAAGAGGGTGAAACAGAAGTTAATTCCAAAAAATTATGAGCATATCACAAAAATGAGCATATCACTTTGAACGTAAGAAGGTTATGAAGCGACTGTTTCTCTACACTTCCTTTATTGTGTGACATTTTGACAGGTCATGCATTATCGTATCAACAGTATTTTTTTGCTCCTGCCCTTGAGATATTGTTTACTATATTCCTTACTAGCAAGATAAGAAAATATGTCCCCCTCCCAATGAGGGAAGATCTCATTGGGAGGGGGACATCTTTTCTTATCTTGCTAGTAAGGAATATAGTAAACAATATCTCCAGGGCAGGAGCAAAAAAATACTGTTGATACGATAATTTCCCCCCTAAACTGAGCAACCCCAATACCTTACATCAAAGCTGATAAGCCTTTCCTCATAGATAGGCGTTGGACTGAACTTTGACAGTGTATGTTGTGTAAAGCTGAAAAATCGTAAATTACAGTAGCGAGTAAAGTATTCCTATATCCGTTTTTAATCCTGTGTTACACTTTGAATATTCAGTGATCGTATTACTTTTCTTTTCACAATGTATACCTTGGCTGGGGCTGCACACATTTTGGCTGGGCTTTGTAGCCAGCTGTTCTGGCCACCACCAAGACTTGATTTCCTTACCTCCTGTTCCACATAAGCCATGTGTATCCTGTTTGTGCCTGTCACCCAGTGAGTTCTTTTGTAATAACCCCTTCCCTTTAACCTGTGACATTGATAACTGTATCTCAGCACTTTGCTGTCCAGTGCCTTTTTAAGGAGGCATTTTCTTCTTCCCTGTGTTGCCAACAGCTTTTTTTTTTTTTTAATGCATTTCTCTTGTGGTAAAGTGAACTGTATTTCTTTTTTTAAAACTTTCTATGCTTCCTTGTCAAAGTTGTCATCTAGAAATGGTGCTTGCTGTTCTTCCCCTTTTAGATTTCTTCAGAGGCCCTACTGTGCCCAGTGTACGCCTGGCAGGTTTAGAACATGTTCTTCACTTCACAGCTGTGGATGAAAAAATCTATATGAGAAGTTACAAGTAAGTAAGTCTCTGTTGCTTGGAGCCCCTTTTGGAAATATTTGTTTCCAGCCACACTGTACAGTTGTAATATTCTTACTAAGTATTTGACTTGGAAATGCTTTTGTAGGACTGAATTAGTGTGTGTTACAGGATCCAGCCATTAAAGAATAATTCTACCCACAAGCAGTTATACACATAACTTCCTTAAATTTCAGCTAGTATTTACAGTTTATAATTTAGATTCCAAAATTTTTCAGCATAAACAGTTTCTTCAATTTTAAGGTTATCTGTTTTGTCATCAAAGCCTTTGTTTAAGTTCATGGTTTTGAAATGAAACTTAGAACAGATACTATGAAGTTCTGCAGTTCTGGTGGTCTGTGTTGGTCTGAAGCAGCACAACAAAGTTTGAGCCCAGTGGCACCTTTAAGACCAACAATGTTTTATTGTAGGTATAACTTTACTAGGGAGCAAGGCCCGTTGAGAAGGGCGATACAACGGGCAGCTAGCCCCCCCCCGTCGCCTCCTCCCCCTCCCCGCCCTGCTCCAGGTGGCCGCCGGTCTTAGGCTGGCGGCCGTCGTCTGCAGCCACTCGCGGCTCTCGGCTGTCCCGCGCACGGCGCTCACCTCCTCCCCCCTCTCCGCTCTGACCGCCGCAGGCTGGCGTCCTCCCCCTCTCCGGCCTGACCCAGGCGGCCGCCGGTCGCCTCGAGCCCCCGGGAAGATCCCGCGCAGGTCGTCGCTGCCAGCGGTCACCTCCAGCCACCCCTCCGCACGTCAGCCACCTCCTCCGCTGTGCCCCAGCCAGCCGCCTGCCGCCTCCAGCCGCCGGGAAGATCCTGCGCAGGTCGCTTGAAGCAGCATCTGAGGTGGGACTCAGACGACGTGGCCAATGGGACGTGGGCAAGCCGTTGACGGACAGGCGAGCCGTCCATACACTGTAGGTGCGCATTGCGTGACTTTGCGTCTTACAGAATTATATTATAGGGAGAGATTGTGCACATACACTTCTTCAGAAGAAGTGAGTGTGCACACGAAAGCTTGTACCTAGAATAAAACTTTATTGGTCTTAAAGGTGCCACTGGACTCAAACTGTTTTCTGCAATTCTGTTAGTGTGTGTGTTACAAAGATGCATTTAAATATGATTGTAATTTGAAGGAAGTGAGTACAAGTTGCAGTTTTATGATAGCGGGTTGCAATCTGATCTGTCCTCAGTGTATTGTCCTGCTATACTAAGTAAAAGTGGTTTGCACTGTGATAACGTAGGTTCTGTGCAAGAAAAATAGGGTAGGACCATATAGTAGATGCACATGATTTGCCAGGGGAAAAAATGCAGTGATGCTGAAGAGACAGAGCTCTTCTCATGACCTTAGGATATTGTACTAGCACGATCTCATCATCATTTTGTACTAAAGAAAGAACTTTACAGCAGTCCTTCAAATAAAGCATGTGGTCCAGAATGCAAGCACTGAACTGACATAGGGCATGTTCAGTCCCATGTACTAGAATTTCAGCTCAAATGAATAGCCATTTTTTTCCCTTTTGTTTAAGAGTATTGTTGAAGAAGTCTGGTTGCAAAATACCAAGGATTGAACTTGAAGACATGGGACCTTCACTAGATTTGGTGATAAGGAGGACTCATTTGGCTTCAGATGATCTTTATAAGTTATCTCTAAAGCAGCCTAAAGCTCTCAAGGTATGTAGGCAACTTTTTTTAACTTGTGGAAGACTTTTTCAAGAAACGTGTAGGTTCTTTGCCATCCAAATCTGTTAATATAAATAATAAAGGAATATTTGTCAGAATTTGTTATGCACTATTAGTGAATTTCCCATTATCCATAAATGTAATCTGTATCCAATTTTTCCTACTATTATATTCTGCCAGATGACAAGATACCAGCTCGGCCAAGAAAAAGTGTTAGCTGCTAGAAATTAATCATTGAACATTTCCTTTGGCAAGGTGCACCTTTTCCCCCAGAGCAAAGGTTCTTATGTTAGAGTCTCTGCCATCCATCCAGCCCCTCAAAAATCCTTAACTTTGGACTGGTGGGAAATGAAGTTCTTAGAAGACACTGAACTTGCTCAACAGCATATAAGAACATAAGAGACACCAATGTTGGATCAGGCCAAAGGCCCATCCAGTCCAACACTCTGTGTCACACAGTGGCCAGAAATACCAGGTGCCATCAGGAGGTCCACCAGTGGGGCCAGGACATTAGAAGCCCTCCCACTGTTGACCCCCCCCCCCAAGCACCAAGATGACAGAGCATCACTTGCCCCAGAGCCCCTATCTATACCTTGTGGCTAATAGCCACTGATGGACCTCTGCTCCATATGCTTATCTAATTCCCTTTTGAAGCCGTCCATGCTTGTAGCCGTCACCACTTCTTGTGGCAGTGAATTCCATGTGTTAATCACTCTTTGGGTGAAAAAGTACTTCCTTTTATCCGTTCTAACCCGACCGCTCAGCAATTTCATGGAGTGCCCACGAGTTCTTGTATTGTGAGAAAGGGAGAAAAGTACCTCTTTCTCTACCTGCTCTTTCCCATGCATAATCTTATAAACTTCGATCATGTCACCCCTCAGTCGTCATTTCTCCAAGCTAAAGAGCCCTAAGCGCTTTAACCTTTCCTCATAGGGAAAGTGTTCCAACCCTTTTATCATTCGAGTGGTCCTTTTCTGCACTTTTTCCAAAGCTATAATATCCTTTTTAAGGTGTGGTGACCAGAACTGCACACAGTATTCCAAATGAGGTCGCACCATTGATTTATATAGGGGCATTATGATACTGGCTGATCTGTTTTCAATACTCTTCCTAATAATCCCCAGCATAGCATTGGCCTTCTTTATTGCAGTCACACAC